AGTGTGTCGCGAATGCTCTCCGCGCAGGCTATCTCGATAAAAGTCATGCCTTCGAGGACAGTTACATCGGGAAACACGAGCGCCTCGGCCCAAGGGTTCGCTCTGCGATCGAAAGTCAGAAGCTTGAGAGGGTTCTCCCGGTATTAGATTTAGATTGTGAACAAGACGTGACGGAAGAGGATGAGATTGTCGTATACGATTGACGATCATCGTGGTAATTTGTCGACTTCGAATTTTCGTTGTTATTCCGATTCGTTTCATAGGTTGAAATTTGAAATAAACCCTACCCCGAAAGTAGGCCCTCCCGCTTTTTTCCGGGGAGTTGGCGAATATAAGCCCTGGCTTATATTCGGGGAAACACGGTATTACATGATTCCGATGGAGAATAAATGCGCGCCACAAAGAGGGTTATGCGGAACAGAGTCCAGGAGAGAAGGAAGAACGATAACAACATTGCAAGTTGCAACCCGGTCCGGTCGTTCCCGACGACCGGAAAACTCGGGAAGGGATTTTGTTCATTCAAACCCTCCGTGTCACACCCTCTCTGAAGCCCATCTGTGAACCGAACTTCAGTGTACTCATTCATAGTAGTTTTCGAGGGGTCGAACCGTGACAGGTGGAAAGGGATCGATAAAGATATCTCGGACATCACCTTGTCGTGCACGGCCTGTTTAACACATGCGTGAACTCCGCCTCGGGAGATCATCCATGGTTGGCACCCACCAAGCAGTCCATTCGAAAGACTACATCTCGACTATGCCGGCCCGATTGAAGGAAAGTATATCTTGCTTCTCGTCGACTCCTATAGCAAATGGCTAGAGGCTTTTATCACCACGAACAAAACCTCAGCTACTACATTGACGCATCTCCAGGAGACAATGGCACGCTTCGGCATTCCGAAAATCGACGTTACCGATAATGATCCCACCTTTGCCTCAGCTCAATTCGATCATTTCTGCGTGACTAATGGCATCAGACACATGACATCGCCACCGTATCATCCGGCATCTAACGGGCAGGTGGAACGTTACGTAAACACCTTAAAAACGGCTTTGGAGAAACTCTCTTCGGAAGGGAAGGACCTCAACACTAGTTTATCGCTGTTCCTTTTCCGGCAATACATGATGTCAAGCGCCGCAGGAGAGAGTCCAGCTTGTCGCATGCTCGGTCGAGAGCTAAGATCGAAACTAGATTTGCTGAAAGAACAACCCTCAGAGCACACGTTCACTGACTCTCCGAAATTCATGGTAGGAGAAACGGTGATGGCTCGAAACTACCAGACGTCAGGACCGAAGTGGTTCCCCGGAAGAATAGCGAGAAATTGCGGCTCCCGCATCTGTGAAGTGAAAGTTCCAAATGGTACTTGGGAACGACATTTCGAAAAGACCCGTCGGCGCAGCAAAGATTCGAGATTCGCAGACGTTCACGCTCATGCCCTTCATTTGTGCTTCGGACACCGAAGGCGAATCCGAAGACGAGTTCTTCGAAATAGACGAAAGCCTTGAAAGAAACCAAGGTGATCGTAATCTTAGCCCAACACAAATTGACTCTGGAGAAATTGGTTGTGATACGGAAGTTCCAGTCCCTGAGCCACCTCAACGATCTCAACGGAGTACAAAGGCTTTACCCCCTCGAAGACATATAAATAATTAGAAATCATTCATAATAGGAAATAGTCCCGGGTTCAAGCATTTCTAAGAAGGGGGAAGTTTTTACACATTCAAATATACCGCGTTCCCGCGGAAGTCAAAGCGCCACCTACAATAATAAACGTGAACAGTCTTGGTGGCGGGCTCAGGCTCCTAAATCGATGGTCTTCAATGAACCCGAAAGATAACAAATGTATTATGCAAGATATTTGCTGGGGATAGAACAAGCTATACCAAGATCAACGCGGCACGATGCACCGTATGGTTGGTGAGAAACGAGTGTTGAGACGCCGCACAGTGGGGCCAAATCGAATTTTAGGTGGACAAAAGTCCATGGAAATCGATCCCGGAATTTCGATCGGTTATGGGTTTGAAAATGTTCTTAAGACTCTGAAAGTCGAGGGGGAACCATGATTACCGCCTTTTCTGCATCCCGCAGCCACCCTGGCACCTGCGAGAATAAAATTGGTTTTTTTATTATCACGACAGTTTTCATGAATTTCTCCCCCCAATCGGTGATTCTCGGAAGTGAACATACTTCGTGCCCTCGCATTGGGGGGAAATTATTCTCTGCCTTCAGTTCCCATCCTGATCTCGCAATCCCACATGATTCCGGTCGGGTCAGCCGATTCTGGACTTGCTGGGAAGACTTTTTCGCCGAGACGAAAAAGTTCGGAAATTCGTTGAATTCTCGATGTCAGAAATGCGGTGTCCCCACGTGTCCCGCCTCTGATTTTTTTCTTTTGGGGAGTTTCGGACCTATACTGGCCGCGGGAAAAAAATTGAGGCGCGAAACCCAGCGGTTCTCGAATACTGTCCAGCCAAAGTTAGGATCCGATCTCGTGGATCGGGACCATTCTCATGTAGCCTTTCGAATCCAAATCAGCACGTCCATATGTCGGAGGCGATTGACGTTTTTTCCGTTCCGAGACGTAGGCGTCGCGTCTTGGCGCGGCGTTGACTCGTTCCCAGAGTTAAGTGGAGAGCGACAATGTTTTCCAACTGCTGGTGCTGATTTGGATTCGAAAAACTACATGAGAATGGTCCCGATCTACGAGATCAGATCCCAACTTTGGCTGGACAGTATTCGAGAACCGCTGGGTTTCGCGCCTCAATTTTTCCCCTGCGGCCAGTAGAGGTCCGAAACTCCCCAAAAGAAAAAAATCAGAGGGGGGACACGTGGAGACACCGCATTTCTGACATCGAGAATTCAACGAATTTCCGAACTTTTCCGTCTCGGCGAAAAAGTCTTCCCAGCAAGTCCAGAATCGGCTGACTCGACCGGAATCATGTGGGATTGCGAGATCAGGATGGGAGCTGAGCGCAGAAAGTAGTAATTTCCCCCCAATGCGAGGGCACGAAGTATGTTCATTTCCGAGCATCACCGATTGGGGGGAGAAATTCATGAAAATCGCCAGGGTGGCTGGGGGATGCGGAAAATGCGGTGATCATTAAGGCTGTGCAAAATATGCACCAAAAAATCGAAAATAGGCATGCAGTATGCACGAAAAATCGGGCCAAATATGCATGAAAATATGCACGATTTTTTCATTACACTTCCTTGTAACAAGCCGCCACGATGTATTTCTTTGGATTTTCGAATAGGAATGAGTGCCTGTTGTCTCGCAGTATCGCTCTGTACTGCGAGAGAGACCGTATGATACTAGAGGTGCGAACTTCAGGCATATCACAATCTCGACTGGTAGGTCGGGAGCATCTTCGGTTGCCCGTCCCCGTGGGAGATCGCGAACACGACACAAATCAGCAAAACCGGTGTTCTTGCTGAATGTTCCTCGAATTTACGGTGTATAGGCACTCGCGGCAGTGTCTAGAGACTCTCTCGAGCTTTTTTGATCACTCCCGTAGCTTCCTCTACGGGCAGCCCGTGCGCTTCGAGGGCTGTAATGGCGTCCGGAAAAGTGCGATGCGATTGTAGAAAGTCCAGCCTGTACAGAAGCGTCAACGGATAGATGCTGAGCTTCTCCGATAGCAGCTGCATCCTCCTCATGAAGCTTGTCACAAGCGAAGCTCTTCAGACGCTGGAAATTCTCTGCGTAGTATTCAACCGCTCTCAGCCAGGTTCCCCAGCGAGTCACGATTGGTTTCGGTGGGAGGCTGGTCAACTTCTGCTTTGAAGAGGAAAATGCGGGAAGGACTCTTCGAAAGTACCATCTTCATGCTCGCCATCAATCGACCAACTTCGGAAAGAGCGAGCGAACCTGTTCGGACCCTCTATGCAGGCCGTGCGCCACACGCGTGACATGTATCAACCGGGGGAATAGCACTTTAAAACCGGCTCCAGCTTTCGTCATGTACCGAGCTGCGTCGGTCACGAAGACCAGTACATTCTCGTGGAGAACGCCGCCGTCTGTCCACAGTAGTTCCAGAGATTTCACGAACAATTGCGAAATCTTTGGTTTTCTCCAAAGCCTCGCACATGAGAAGATAACTTCGACCGAAGCTCACCTTGTCTAGTCTACCACAACAACGTGGGCAACGCTACGGCGTGCTTAATCCGAAGTTCTGTCAATGGAGATCCAGACCTTTGACGATCCAATAGATTCACGGATTTTTCTGATAACGGTGCCTTACACCACTGGCATGTACGATCGCTGTAGCGTAGAGCGGTCCTGTACTTTCGTTCCGGTATACTTCTCGAGGAAGGTTTTCAAAACAGTATGAGAAACTTTATCTAGTGGAATGTCCGCAGCCATGTATGCAGAGGTCCATGTTGAAAATTTTCCGAAAGAACGGCATTCGGGGGGTTTTCGACAGATTTCGCCCCGGCTGGTGATAGAGAGTCGATATACTCTCGATTCAAGATAGGAAACTCACTTATGGGAGCTCATATGACGGAATTATACAAATATTCATGAAAATTCTGAAATCGGTAGAATATGCAGTATGCAAGAAATTATGCGGTATGCACAATGCACAGCCCTAGTGATCAATAGATTAAAAGTTATGATCATGCCGAAAACATCAGTCCAGTGATTGGAGGAGGTCTACAAGACATACACTACCGATCAAACGTTTGAGAACGCTCGAATATTAGTCGAAAATTGTAAACGGAGTGTGCTCTCTGCTGCATTCGGCACGTATAAAGTACGTATAAAGCCTAACAAACCGATTGACATGATCAACTTCGTCTTCGACATAAACTCCAAATAAGTACCGTAAGGCGCCGCCAACGGCCATATTGGTGTGAAAACGGATTTCTTAAGGGTGCGTCGCAAAACATTCAAAATTCGGCGGGAGCTCCCTTTCCTGTCTTCGAGACTGGATAAGGACCCAAGTTTCAGCTCGATTCCTATACTAGATGCCAAGAAAATAATCGTTCTCGAAAATCCCGCACCGCAAAGCTGGGTACATAAGATCTGAAGGTGAGTTGCAGTTGTTCAATCCGTTTGAGAAACGAAATTCACTTCTTCGGGGCGATTCCTCAACCTAACTGCGTGCGTCGCGTCCTGGTCTATACGTAAATGTTTCGGAATGCTCTTTCGACAGAAAAGCGAGCCGCCATCGTGGCTTTGGGGAGAGCAGGTCACACTTTTCGGGACATTGCACGTCTTGAGAATGTCTCACTTCGCGGCGCTGTAACAGCAGTCAAACGGTATCAGGAAACAGACAGTAACTGAGATAGACCCAGAAGGGGAGCACCGCGCGAAATAAGCTTGGTGGAGGAGGAGGCTAAATGTGCACGATGAGCAAGCGCGATCGATTCAAGGCACCTCGGGACATCCGTGGTGACCTCATGGAAGGCAGAGATGAAGAAACATCCGTATCTTTGGTCGAATCCCCGGGAAGCTCGGCTTGAAGGAAGGATAGCTTGTCAAAAGCCGTTTCTTCGACCGAAGAATAGGGAGAAGAGATTGGCGGAAGCTCCGAGACTTGGCGGGATTCCCACCCGAACATTGTCCCATTTGCGCGAATAGGAGTCGAGAACGGGAGCATCAGGCATTCTGTGATATTGTCATCTCGTCATTTTGCAATCAAGCTTCTCGAGAAGTCTCATCGGGCCCAACGACCGAACGCCCTGAATATTCTCTCACAGGCAGCTACCACGATGGAATCGCTCCATAATATAATAAATATTCGCGATGAAATCGAAGACACGATGGAGCGAGAAGCGTGGAGGGAATATCCAGACTGAACGGAGGCTCGCTCGATCATGTCGCAGCTTCTGGAACCAGGAACGCCAACTAGAGATGGCGCATCTATCCGCGGCACATTCTTCACTATGCACGGTCGACCGCTACGCTTCCCGGGGTGAAAATAAAGACTGGCATTGAGCGAGCGATAGGAGCTAGCTCTTGCCACTGCGCGTCTTCCGGGGATTGTCGGCCATCACAGTGGCTTGCAATCGGTGTTTCCGGGGCGACTGTCTTCATTGCCGGTGAGTACACGATCGGTGGCTGCTCGGCGGGCATGTTTGCGGCATGGCGGCAGGATGAAGTAACTGACCCCACTGAGACATCAACGATCGTCGAGCGGCCGCCGCTACCGGAACCGCCGCCGGAGAGTCTTCCATGGGAACCCTCTCGAAGTTCGTCGTCTCTGCAGCGTCTCATTCGGTCCCTAGTCCCTCAATCTATTCTCTCGCTCTGACGGTAATGAATCCTGGAGATTCGGACAGGGCGCCTCAGCCGGCGAGTCGCAATTTCACGGCAGGCTTGATCGACTGTACCCCAAGATCCACATCGGCGAAATTCACGCGAGCCGTAGCAGTAGCTCGAGAATCACTCTGATTCGACGCACGTTGGAAATCTCGCCGTCGCGAGCTCTTTCGCTTCTGGTGCGAGTCTGAGAGCTCGGGGAGCCGAACTCCGGTGCGAAACGCTGCGGCTCACACCGCTGGCCCAATGCATCCGGCGGCATCATCTCACAATCAGATTCCCCGCTGTTGAGGGGCTGGCTCGCGTAAAAACTCACATCCTATGACATTATGCGGCGATGCGAACCCTCGGAGGTGAGTATGAATGATCCTCCTCGGGTGAGGCTGCACTGTGCGGAGACGGGCTTCCGAAACCCACCGCTCAGCCATTCAAGCTCAAGATCGGGCAGCTTCGAGCTGGCAGCGCCGCAGTCTCGGGGAGCATCCGATCCCGGATCCCATGGTCTGAAAGTCTAGATCAGTGCGAATCGGTATCCAAGCGTATTTCTGAGAATTCTAGAGTAATGGGTGGATTGACTGAGCTTCGACCGGCGCGCAGCGATATAGTCCCGAGACGACCGAGGATTCACCTATATGAGTATTTGCCTCAAAAATCATTAGCAGACCTATATCACCAGGGTGGTACGAATTCTCAAGGATTAGGGGATGAGGGCTTTTGAGCCTAGATTATCTTTTCTTGAAATATTCACATCGCTCCTTTTAGGGTCGGCTTGCGAAGACGAGTTGAGACGAACGCTAGCGAATATAGCGAA